TTTTTAAAATGAGTTTTCATTGGATTAGGGTGACTGTATGCTCCTGTTCCTGAGCCACCTTCCCTGCCTGCGTCCCTGCCTGATCTGCTTGCTTTTTGCCAAGTGGACAGAGGAATGTGTGGAATTCCCCCTGCACCTTCACTCCCATCTGATAAACACAGCAGGACGATGGCATGGCTTTGGGTGGGTGGATAGGGGTGCAGACAAGACTGTACATGCGCCCACTGCCACAAGAATGTGTACAGTGTCCACATGACTTCAGTTGTTTGTTGAACATAATAAAGATTAGTTGGCACAGTGTGGCCGCAGTTGAATCCCCTGAAAGCGCTGCTGTTGGTTTAAATCAGCACATTGTACGAGTGAAGCAGTTGGTGCACGTTACACCTCTGTCCTGCTTTCTTTTCAGGTTGCACACTGGTGTATCGCTGCTTTAATCATTCTCATCTATTCAGAGACATGAAGCAGGCAAACCTAATACCTGCAGAGCAACAGGTAAAACACGATATGCTGTATAATAAATTGCCTGAGTCTCTTTCTTCTCCATCTGCTTTGTGAGAGAGGAGTAATGACATGGTTTAATCTTTAAACTGTTGGATGTCGAACCTGTTTCTGTATTCACTGTGAAACGCAGCGTTTAAATCATAGCTCACGACTTTTGCAGACACCCTTTTAGATGACAGCTTCATTCTCCAGATCTTGCACAATGGACCATTGAGTCAGGATGCTGTTAGAGCAGAATTGGACTTTGTCCATTGTGGCTCCTACCCCCTGTCTGGAATGGAAAAGATTAGCCTGTTGCTTGGCTTACAGTGCATGTTTGGATTCTCGGTGTTTCTAACTCTTTGTGGACTTAACTTTTCTGAGGCTGGCGAAGGCTTGTTGTCTGTCCTCATGACAGTCAATGCTGCCCTCGTCAGGGAAATGAGGAGCAGCAAGCAAGTTTAACTCCCATTTTCATTCTTTCTCCTTTTATGAGCTGCAGTAACAGACATCAGAGATGTGCTTACAGGCCACCCACTGAGAATGATGTGTGTGGATTACAGGCTGCTTAGTCAAAAGCCACAAAAGGATGTGTGATGGAAATTTTGGATTTTCTTTCCTAATGTCCTGTTTTCACTGTCAGAGCAAATTTAAGGTCCTTTTCTTTTCCTCAGACATACTTTCTACTTCTGCTCTGTAACATGTCAGATGGAAATATTGTTTACTTCCCTAGAATGATCTCACGTCTATTGTTACTTATTGTTTACAAATTCAAGTTTTTAACCTAAAGCACATAAATGTTTCGTGTCAAAAATTCTTCTCTAGCAGTTTATATAAACTGTCAACTGTTTTTTGTAAATGTTTTAAATTACAGGCATCAGAATATTTACAAACCAAACAACAGATTAAAAGAGAAGATAAATAGTTGAGATTATTCTATAATATAAATAATTGTTAACTTGAATCTAAAACAGAATCATTCTGTCAGTCAGTTTACTAGGCAATCGTTTTTGCTCTGGTTTCTGGCTATACTGGTTTCACAGAATAACATATTATGAAAATTTGACCGGTATAATAAAATGTACATTTATGTTTAAGTACAGCTGCATGGAGGTTCTTACCTGCAGAACTCCATTCCCCTAGTGACTATCTGCTGGACTGTTTCCCTGGCTATGCACACAAACACATATGCAATGGAGAAAACATCAGACAGAAGTGATATGAAAACACTGGTCTGTGTCCATGGCCAAAAAGAAGAAAAAATGTGATTTATTGGGACTGATTGCTTGAGGATGTGTATAATAAATCTGATATCAAAGCAGCTTTATAAATAATGAAAGACATTCGATATGTTTGCCCATGTTCTGTAACACCATCTGTCTGTGTAGTTAGAGGAAGTCTGTGTCCCACTTATAACGTTAATCCATAATGTTAAAAAAAAACTTCTTCTTCTTCTTTTGTTTTTGTTTTTGTTTTTTTTTAAAAAAAATAGCCATCATGACTTGTACTATCCAAAAAGTGTCTACATTATGGCAACGGCTATACCTATATTTTCTGACAGTAACCTGTGACCTACATGCGACCACACACATGCACTGAACTCTGTCATATGAAAGAAACACAAACTTATCAGATCTAGAGTAGCTATGATACGTTGCATATATGGATAGGAGCAGTCTAGCTGAGCTGCTGTGCCTATTTTTCCTTTATGGGTGTAACAAGTTTGGAACTGGGACCAAAATGACAACACGAGGAGCATGCTACTCAGGTGCAAACATTTAGCATAACCCCAGTTCTTTGAAAAGCAAATGAGGGTTGAAAGAGAACTGTGTATCATTAAGGCCCATGCATCATAATAATGGAGTTTATATGTTATCCAGTCTGTGACTAATGGATAGGTTTAAAAAAATGAATGCTCCCTTGTAAAGAGCAATAGAGGTATTAACCAGCCTCAGGTTTTAGAGAATCGTTATACCCTGTAGTTTCCTGAAAAGATACTACTGTACTGATAATTGAACTAGTGTCACATTCAGAAAACAAACTCTGATGTGTCAATATTGGCTTATCACAGTAAAATGTACTAAAATGTATTTCCTATTATGGATACTCTGTGTTTATTTATCCTGGAGATCATGGTCCTGTGTCAGGCATACATGTGTAGTATCACCAGCTGGGAGAAGGAATAATAAGTGCAGAGTTGCTGTGAAAGGAGTTGTCTTATAAACTTGGCTCAGAGGGCCTGAGGCAGCATGGCTGCCCTCTCTGTCAAGGCTGTGAAGAACTTTCTAGGAATACATGGCCATAATTAGTAACCTAAGGCATTTATTTATTCATTTATTTTGATTTGAAAGGCTCTAAGCTGCTGCTTCATGAGAAATGTAGATCAATACCTAAATGCGCTATATTTCACACGACTCACCTTTGTCCCAAAACACAGTTGTGGTATTCTTTTTTTAATCTAGCGGCTTTGTTTCATGAGTGACAAAGTCAACTTCAGTGAGACCTTGCTCAGCATGTCAGCACCAGGTGCAGATTATTTTGGGCTGGTCATGATATTTCAGCACATTTGCACAGACATGGGCTACTCACAGAGCTTCCCGCTTTAAATAGATTAGAGCTCCCATGTGGTTTATGTCAAACTTTTCAGGGCTTGTGGCAGTGTCTGTGGATTGAGGGCTGTGATGAAGGGTTGAGAGAGAGTATATATGAAATTTGAAAGATGGAGACAGGTGTGAGTTTTCTTTTTGCGATATAGACCGCTCTGTCGCTAGAAGATGTACAAGATTTAAACTTTTGTCACACATTATTCTTGCTCTTGACCAAACACCTGTGAAGCTAAGATCTGTTGGTCATATTTTGTTAATGCATTCTCTCTCTCAAAGTTCATTTCAGCGTTTGTGTTGAGATAAGAGGGCACTGAGAGGATACTGTTTGGCCCTTAAACCACTCCCCCATTAGACTGGCAGCCTGTTATCGCTTCACGCTGCTCACACTCACACATTGGCACCCACACAGTCACAGTCCTTCATGAAGGATATTACAGATACAGGTGGAAAGAATGTAAGTACAGATACTGAACTTTGTCAGGATTTCAAAACTATATGGTTGTGTTGCATGTATGCGTTTCTCTCTGTGTTTGTGTATTTTATGCTGGAGGTTTCTCCATTGACTTCATTCGGGATGAAGTTGGGATTTAGTGGTGGAATATTTTGAGAATTTGAATTATTTTGTAAAATATAAACTTTTAGGAAGTTTTCCAGAATGATATGTAATCAGATGAATCTTGTTTCTTCTTTAACATTTTTTTTTAACTTGTCAGCTCTCAAATACTTTAGAGTTAGATATTTTCCCTTTGGTTGCTCTAAACAGGCGCAAGTTTTAATCCTATCTCACCAGTGACTTGGTTTGATGTTAAGAGATTAAAATATAAACTCAGAAGAGGCAGGAAATAAAACTTAACAAATCCAAATCTAGAGAGCCAGTCTGTGCTAGACAGACAGGTGGTAAGAGCTCCCTGTTTCTTGGATATTTGGACAGTTTTCCATCCTGCCTTTCAAAGATATTATTCTTTGTAACAGGGCCAAGCCTCTGTAGTGTAACACTATGCAGCCAGGGATTGCGGTCTATTCTAGACATGCTGCAGATGGATGGATTGTGTGATGTAAGAGTCTATTTTGTTCCTGCGTTCCACCAAACACTCGCCAGGGTAACACTGTACCCCCTCAACCCTGGACCGGATTCAGAAACATTTTCTGTCTCTCTGCTTCTTTGTTTTATCAGTCTGTCTCACGAAGTTCACACTCAGGCTCTTGAAACTAAGACTAATCATAGACATGAACTGGATGCATGGCACACGGAGCTGACAGATCAAACGCATGGTTGCTCTCATTGACTTCAAGTTTGTATCTTAATGTGGACTGTGGGAAAAACACATTGCCAGTTTCTGGGGGATGTTTTATGATTTAGAAATTGGGTGTAGGTGTTGTAGTGTGCCATGCTGTGGTGGTCACATTGGGCCATGTACCCACCACAGCATGGATGACCTGTGAGGAGAAACCAGTTTTGTTAACAGGCTGGAATGAAGGGCTCAGACTCGCTGGCATTGTCTGTTACAGCCTGACGCCAACATCAGTAGTGACCTCAGAGCGCCCATCCATCCGTCTGTCCACCCATTTTGTTAACCAGTTATTCAGCAAGAGCTGCAAGGGCTTACAAGGATAACACACTATATCATCCACAGCTAAGGCCAGTATAAAATCACCGGTTACTCTGATATTCTCTGAGCTGTGGGAGGAAACCTACACAGACACTGGGAGATTATGTTTGCTCTTCACACAGAAGGGAGATCCCACTGAAGGTGTGATTGGTTTTATGTTTGCAGGCTAAAACGTCTTGGAAAAAGACCTTTAGAATTTGTTTACCTTACACAAATAGATCTATTCTGATTGTTGTTTTGGTTGGACAGATCATTTTTTATGTTCTCACTGTGCCTTGAAACATGAATGAATTGCATCTTTCAGACGCGTTGCTGGCAGACCTGGAATCTACTACATCCCACATCTCAAAGCGACCTGTATTCTTGCCCGACGAGACGCCCTACTCCATCCCTACAGGAGGACAGCCCTACCAAGATGTTACACTTCCACCTCCGGTCCCTCCTCCACCTTCAGCTGAAGCTCTGAACGGGTCCCTGAGAGATCAGCCTGATTCCCACCACTCCTCTCAGCAGGTAGATCTCTGCAATGTTTGTGATCTGATCTCACTTAGTATATCAGACTCTTCAAATGAGAAACAGTAAATGTTACATTAATTAAAAAAAAAACCTCAGCAGTTACTGGTTGGTGTATTCTCTGCAGTCACTGGGTTCGGCACAGAAGAGCTCATGGTCAAGGGACAGTAGCAGTTCTCCATTATCTCACATTGAAGAGGACCACGTGTACAGGTAACTTCCACACACTCAGGATGTTGTGTATATAAACCTGATTGCGTCATCTGGCATTTTCTTTAACTTTTAGTTCCTTTCGGTAAGTTATCTCTGTCTCTTTAGTTTCCCAAACAAACAGAAGACATCAGATTCCTCTACAACAGCCATGACTTCTGCGTTGGGCAGTAATCTGTCAGAGCTTGACAGGCTTCTGCTGGAACTTAATGCTGTGCAACAGAGCTCCCCTTCATTTCCCACTACAGGTAGAGACAAAGGCTTCAGATTTATCGGTTCTAATGGGATTGAGCATCATTAGTTTCAATGTTATGTGTCCACAGAGGAGGCAGCTCCTCCCTTGCCATCCTGCAGCATCACTCACTACGAGAACGGCGGCACACCTGACATCTTGGTAAGCCCACCACCTCAGGAGAAACCAAAGAGGAATGGGAGGATGGAGGACGCCCGACCTACTGTGGAAAGTCTGCTGGATGAGCTGGAAGGCTCGGTGCCTTCACCCAGGTATCTCCACTACAGCTGGGGTCTAACTTGGCATTAAAGTCCCCTCTAATCAGTGTTGCAGACTTTGTTCCTTTTTGTTTTGTGTTTGATTCACTATACTAGTTCAGAGTTGGACACTAAAAACGGTCTTTATATTCTTCAGCAGAAAGTTTCTGAGACCTGGCAGAGTAGACCTGTGTGTTCATTTGCAGTTCTGTATTTTTATCCCTAGACTCTACTAGAATAGCTTTGCATGATTTGCAGATTAAATTAATCCTAATATATCTGATACAGAGTCTTTGTGTAGCACCTTCAGTTCATCCACTGTCTCAAGATATTTTAGTTCTCTCCCTGTAAAGGAGAGAACTAAAATGTCCTACGCAATGACAAAATGACATTTTGTCATTGCGTAGGACTTAAGAGTAGAAAAAATATTTGCAGATGTTGGGCTCTTTTTTTGTGTGCAATTTCTCCCCTCATGCGACCTTATTGAAAAGGATTCCAGAAAAGTTCCACACAGGGAGGTATATATACTTAAAATGTATGTGAGAGTGTTGATATTGGGTCTGGTATGAGCAAATGCAAACATCTGAGGTTTCTGAATGTGTATTAGCATTTACAGCTTCTTAACAAATACGTGCATTTTCCATGCGCAGTAAAAGATTGTGTAAGTTTACAGCAGCATTAAATAGTAGCTGTATTGCTTTGTGTGTGACAGCTGCCGTGGGGAGACTGAGACATTGTGGAGCAACACAGCACCTGTTTTGCTTTGATAATTAGAAATCATCAACTTACACAATTTTGAGCTTCACTATTAAAAAAAAAATGTCAGTGTTTGCATGGATTTAATAATCACAATGACTTGTGTTTTCCAGCCCCCCCACTCATCACAGTGACTTGGACACATCCTCTCAACAGCAGGCCAGAATTTCAGCTTCCTGTGCCACCAGAGAGCTCGATGAGTTGATGGCCTCTTTGTCTGACTTCAAGGTATGAGGAAGCATTGGAAAGGCTTTATTTAAACAACAAATCCCAAGCTTCTCCTGTCATGTTCTTCATGATTGCCTTCTTCTTCTTCTTCTCTCACTTGTGCTTCTCTGTTCCTCTAGCCTAGCTCTTTAGGCTCTCTGCTTGAACCAGCAGGAGCATCTTCCAGCTCTTGCCACACTCCAATGTCCTCTTCCATTTCCCCCATGGCTTCTCCTTCCTTGAGTCTGTCTCATCCGTCTGCCTGTGCCTCTCCTCTCTTCTCTTTACCTGCTGGGCTAGAGCTACATATAGATGAGGATGGAGGAGATGGTGGCATGTTGAGACCCCACCCTAGCCATCTCTCTCCACACAGTCCTACATCCTCATATTCTGCAACCAGTGAGCTAGACCTGGACTCTGTCATAGATGTCTCTGCCATCATGCTATCATCTCAAACCAAATCTCTGCTAGTCCTCTCTCAGTCTGCTTCCTCTAACTCCAACCTGCTAAGAAGTAGCCCAAGTCCTTCCAATACCACTACCCCTTCACTTACCTCAGTTATCACTGTCCTGGATCACAAGTCCTCCAAGTCCCCAAGTCCATCTGTAGAACGGGTCTCACCCTCAGCTTCTGGAGGTAAATCCTCCTGTGCTCCTGAGAGTGTAAGCAAGGGTTCTCCTTGTTTTTATGATCTCGATGTCAGTTTCTCCTCTTCGTCTTTACCTACAACCCAAAACTTCACCCCTCAGGTCTCAGCCCCCTCACCCCTCCCCGTTTTTGTCTCTCTGTCTCCACCTTCAAAAACATCCTCACCATCTCCAGTCTCGCCACTAATAGTCTCTTCTCCAATGGCCTTTAATAACCACAACAGACAGTTGCTGGAGACACCACCTGCAACCCATACAACCACCAACTTCACTGTACAGCAACCCCCTGTGGTAGAGCCATCCCTGGATGAGGCACTAGACAAGCTTCTAGCAATGAGTTTTTCACAAAATCACACAATGGCGAATGTGGATGGACCTCAGCTGAAGAACGATGCAGAGTGTCTTGGCAGAGGAATGCAGGAGGTGCACGAGGAGCTCATCCTACCCTTGGACAGAAGCAGCATCCAGCCAGACACTTTCACCAACACTTTCACAGACGATTCAGTGGACGGAGGCACAGATGGGAATGGAGACCTGGACTGGGCAGACGAAGAGCTGTCCATGTCCTTACATGACGGTCTGGATGGCACCATGACCCCTTACACTGAGAGGCTCTATACAGATGGCAGCATGACCCCACTGACAGAGGCCAGCTGGATGGATGAGTCCATGACCCCATCATCATGCCCCGGGACCCCTGACGTCACCCTGGACCTGCCCCTGCTTCAGACTCCCACTATAGACAGAGTCTCAGCGTCTGGACATGTACGCTTCGCCGGCCCTGCCTGATTTTAAAATGTTGTTTTGCTAGCTAATGAGACTGATGCGCCTTTAAATCCCAGCCTCTGCTGCAAGGGTTTATCTTGCATGTTTTTTGAAAAACTAAAACATGGCATCTAATATTTTATCTGCTATTTTGACCACTACTCCTTACATCAGATACGATTATGATTGACTTGTTAGCTTTCAGTATCATCAGGGCTGTGATTGGCTCGATTCTTTTCATCCCTGTAAACAGACCTTGGAGGAGACGCGCCCAGTTACTTTAGCCAGGCAAATAAACCAGGCAGAAAAACGCAAAATTTTTAAGCTTTGATCGATATGTAGAAACTACATGTATTTATTTAGAAGAAAATGCCTTGTAAGGAAGAGGCTGAAGGAGTTGAAGCAAGCTAATTAATAGATTTTGCTTGGAAACTACTCTTACAACTAACCTGCTGTTTGGCAGCACCAGCACTCTGCATGGCACCACTGCATTTGTGTGAAGGACCAAACTGAGACCTGATGTTTATGTGGCTGCTTGAGAAACTGAAGGATGAGAGTTAGATCATCGATAGCAGTGGCTTCTGCTGAAAGCATGCATGAAGTTCCTAATATGGGACTCCGAGCTCGTGACCACTGCTTTGCCGGCACGTCAGTGACTTGAAAACGGCTGGTGTGACTGACCTGCTGCCTCAGTGCTCTGCTGCAAGTGCTTGAGCTTGTAAATTGGAGTGGACATATGATAAGGTGTTCGCTCCCTCCCTCCCTGCTCTTAGATAAAATCAGTTATTAGGCGCACTAAGGAGACTCCCAATGTGCACCCCATGTACCGAGAGGCTCACCTGCGCAGGAAGATGGGACCCATCATTGTAAACAAGAACTCTTCCCAGGACCGTCTCATAGAAGAGCTTCAGGGTAAGCTTGGGATCGGCCGCTCAGAACGGAGGCGCAAACAGTCCGATGATTGGCTGACGGAGGGTGTCATCGTCACGTCCAAACCTCAGCGATATCGTCCCGATGGGGCGGGCAGTGAGGTCGACAAGGTTGGCTTCAGTGTGCTTGACAGTTTCCACAAATTCTCCTTTCGCAATTATTTCACTTTTTGTTTCCCTTTTCTGCACATTTCCTGTCTCCTTCCTTCTGTTTTTCCTCTTTTCTTCAGATCATAATTCCCCCCGAGTCTCCTGTCCCCGTGAGGAAGGTGCTGCCACCTCCCTCTCCCCCTACCCCTCGTCGCCCCCCTGTCATAGAAGAACCTAAGCGACCCCTCCCTGTACAGCACCCCCCTGTCCCAATACCACCCCCACCTCCTCCACCTCCTTCACCACCTCCACAACGTACCCACCACATTCACGAACCAGTTCCTGCTCCACCTCGGCAGTTCATAAAAGCCTCACCTCCACCGGCTCCAGTCCAGAACCCTTCTACGCCTAAACCAGAGCCGCCTCCTCCTGTCCTAAAAACCCCAACCCAGCCACCAACAGTGGACTCGGTTCCCCCAGTTGCACCCAAAGTCCTGGTCTCTGTAGGCTGCCAAACTGAGTATGACCCCATCTTCCCTCCAATGCAGGCATGAACCCCTCCCTCTTTTATTCCTTCTGTTTTTCACACTTATTTTAAAGTTAAGTAACCCTAAACTTAAATATTTTTGTTACATTTCAACAGTAAATAACTATTTTCATACTGAACCATTTCAGATTATGGCCCAAGGGAAGGGTGGTGTCTCCGGTGGACCCCCGACACAGGTCAACAAGCTGGACAACATGCTTGGCAGCCTGCAGTCTGACCTCAACAAACTGGGCGTGCAGACAGTCGCTAAAGGAGTTTGCGGAGCCTGCTGTAAGCCGATTGTGGGACAGGTGAGATGGTTCGGTTAAGGTAATCTTTTGTCTGTAACATAAATAGATGTTTTCTAATCATGCTTTGGTTATCTGTTTTTTGTCAATTATTTTTTAGGTGGTGACCGCCATGGGCCGCACATGGCACCCCGAACACTTTGTGTGCACACACTGTCAAGAGGAAATCGGCTCCAGGAACTTTTTTGAACGTGAAGGACAGCCCTACTGTGAGAAGGATTACCACAATCTGTTCTCTCCGCGGTGCTACTACTGCAACGGGCCCATACTGGATGTGAGTCACTGCTCTCCACACATGTGGTCTCTGCTGTAGACGTGTCAGCCTATAAATGTCTTCAATGTCCATTCAGAAAGTTGTGACGGCGCTGGATAGGACATGGCATCCCGAACACTTCTTCTGCGCTCAGTGTGGCTCTTTCTTTGGCCCTGAGGGTAAAGTGATACAAGTATATGTTTTGAATCATACTGCTTAGCAGTTTCTCTCTACTTTAGAGTGGATATAATCTCTTGTCTCTTTCTGCTTTCAGGTTTTCATGAAAAGGATGGAAAGGCATACTGCAGGAAAGATTACTTTGACATGTTTGCACCGAAATGCGGCGGCTGTGCCAGAGCCATTCTGGAAAATTACATCTCAGCTCTGAACTGTCTTTGGCATCCCGAGTGTTTTGTTTGCAGGGTTAGTGTTATGCTTCAGTCAGGAACTTTTCTATAATAGTTTGCATGCCTTGTAAGAAAAAGAGTACTAAAATAATAACGTGTGTGTGTGTGTTTCTGCAGGAGTGCTTCACCCCATTTGTGAATGGAAGCTTTTTTGAGCACGATGGCCAACCCTACTGTGAAGTGCACTACCACGAGCGCCGCGGCTCCCTCTGCTCCGGCTGCCAGAAGCCCATCACGGGGCGCTGCATCACAGCCATGTCCAAGAAGTTTCACCCGGAGCATTTTGTCTGTGCCTTCTGCCTGAAACAGCTCAACAAAGGCACCTTTAAAGAGCAAAACGACAAACCCTACTGCCACGGCTGCTTCATCAAGCTGTTCAGTTAGAGAGTTGGGGGAACGTTTAACACTGGCACACTTGGGTCAGGGCTAAAATGAGAGTCTGAAGCATTTCTAGCACAGGGAGAGTGAGAACGGGTTTAGTTTGTATTGCAGGAAGCCGTCTCTGGATGATGGCGTTGGAAGTGTGTATGGGCTAAGTATGTGCATGTGGTTGAAGCGGTGTGCTGCTTCGGCCAGACTAAATGTTTTTCATGTCATTCAGAATTATTATTATTTTTTAGATTGACAGCAGCTTATTTGTGAAGCTTTTTATGTGTTGTGAGCGGGTGACTATATCGGATGAAGGTATATTCGGTCTTTAAAGGAAAATCTTTTCCCCCCCCTCCAAGACAGCAACTTTTCTCCCAGTCTACTTAGATGTGCTGAAACAAGCAGCTGTCTTGTTTGTTTTGAGTGTGTATGTATGTGTGTAACCCTCAAATCGTTTTATTTTTTATCTTTTTAGAAGGTGATAAATTGTTACTAAGCACACTGAAACTCTGATCTATGAAATGCTCGGTGTGTGGTAAAGTTACTCACTGGTTGAGTGCGTCATTTTAGAAATCAAAACAATGAACATATGGCAGGGAACAGGTGACCTGTTGTTTTTACACAATATAAACTTTTTTTAACAAATGATCAGGATAAAAGGCCTTTTACGTTCTCTCCTCCCTAGTATAAAGTCAGATAAGGCACATCTTTATATAACTGATAGAGTTGTGTTTTATGGTGAAATGCATCTTTAGTGTCCCTTGACCAGAAACCCCTTTCTAGTATGTCATATTTTAATTAAAGGTGCATACTGTGTTACAAAGCAGTCAAGGGCAAACTGAGCATGGATTAATATTTGACTCAGCAGTCACTGCGGTGTTCACTCTTCATTACATGTGCTGCCAAATCATTCCTTTTGGTTCCTCTGAATTAAAGCGAGTCTAAAAGCAGTTTGTTGGATTTGCCTCGTACAGTAAAGTGAAGCTGCACAGAGATATTGGGGGTACAGTGTTTTTGTGCTACACTACCCTTACTGTTTCTGAGTACATCCTGAGAATTTTTGTTGTTGTTTTTTGTACATGTCCAATGCAGCTACATTGTAAGCATGAACATGTGTTTAATAACCACTCGTTAAAAGAAGGAAAGGGCTGCTTGGAAGGCATAGCAGAGATATTTGGATGTCTTTGCTGATATTACTGTATCGAGAAGCTGATGAATGTTTGTTTTTGAGAGAATGCAAACCGTACACACAACTTGCCTGTGATATTCCGATAACTATGCAACTGTGGATTAACAGCTTTGTATTTCAGCATCAGCATCTATTTCTTAGGCTGTCTGTGCCATTGTATCATGTCTAATAACACTGGCAAATTCAGCAAAAAATACTGAGAGCAGGTCAAGAGTCCGCTGTTCTGTTTTCATGTTATTAGTCTGTGAGTTTGTAAAAATGAGAGCCTGGTGGTCTGCTAGAATAACTGGTAGGACTAGGATGACTCGTCTCCCTCAGCGTCTGAGTAGCATCTACTGTATGACCACCAGGTTGGGGCTCTGTACATGGTTATTCATACACAGCAGACAGATTTGGCTTTTTGTCTTGTTCAGGGAATTCTAGAGCCTTAATTCTTTTTTTTTTTTTCTCACTGTATTTAAGATATCCTGTAACAGTCGTCTTTTCAAAATGACTTTCGTAGAGGTTATTTAACCAAAGCCATACCTTCTTTCAGTTTTTCTTGTCTGTTCACTTTGTTTTTTCTTTTCACTTTGAATGTCAATAGATACAAATAGTGAGATTCCTCTGTTCTAGCCTGATTATGCCAATAAATTCAGTTTTGGTATCAAAATGTCATCCAAGGGTCTAATTTATGCTAAGCTTTTACTTTGTGTGCAGCTGTTACCCTTAAGCTTTGCAATTTCCAATGCTATAATTTTATTCTCAGCTTCTAGAGAAGCTTTGCATGATTCACAGGTAAAAATGACCCTTATTTATCTTGGTACAGTCCCTCAGAGCATCCACTGTCTTACACAAGCTGTTTTAGCTTTCTAGTCCTTCCCTTTAAGCTAGCCATCTTCTGATTGGCTGAATAGTGCAGACAAAAGGTTTAAAGAGAAGATGAGTGTGGCTTTACTAAGGATACCTGCTCTCACTAAAATCATCAAAAACACTCACAGAGATTGTTTGTACACGCGACGACTTCATTATGTAAAGTTTAATTCATCACAGTTACATGGATAATATAAAATAAGGAAAATCATCATAGGTCCACTTTAATCAGACATTAGTCCAGCTGTAGAGCACCTCTTTCAGGATGAGGTAAGAGCCCTCTTCTTCTGCTTATCCACTTCAGGGTCACAGCTGGGTGATAGGCAGAGTACATCCTGGAGAGGTCACAGAGCTAATGCATAGATTATTCATGCTCACGTTTACGCCTTCAGCTAATATAAAATCACAAATGGGGATCAAGACACGCAGGAACAGAGGATTCAAACCCACAACCTTCACAGCACCCTGCTGTCCCTACTCACTATGATAAGTTAGCCCTTTTTATTTAAGAAATTCTACAGAGTCTAGGCAGAAGGCCCGTATTATTCATAACCTTCAGATAAGAAAAATGATGAATAAATGATTCGTTTTCGTACAGAAACCCTTTGAAAGTTCAGTGTTTGGGAACGTCTTTCACCGGTTGTGGGCGCTAGTGAGACATTTTGCACGCTTACGTAGACAAACAAAACAGAAGACGAGGAAAACCAAACCTCGACTGTGATTGGACGAGGAGTCACGTGGCTATCTTCGTACCCGGAAAGATGACAAATGTTTCTTTGCAAGATTTCAGGTGAGTCGACCAAATTTATCAGGTTTAGAATAGTTTTAAGACAACAAATTCTTTTTGTATCTTATGATTGTACAAAGCTCGTGTAAGGGTTGGTGTTTACGGTAGTTCCGTGTGGAGGCTATTTGTAATGTGGAAGAGCCTTTGAGCCATTGTTGGTCGTTAACGTCGAAGCGGCTGGCTCACTGTTTACACAGTTCGGCTGGAAAACGCTTTTTGCGATGGTCTCAGTTTTATATTTTGAAGTTTTATTTATATCCTTAATACGTGGACAGAATTTGCTAAAGTTGAGCGCTTTTCTCTTTTGTTTTCACGAAATAAAGCAAGTAGCGCAGGTCGATGGTATCTGCGCTGGCTCGTGTTGTTGTTGTTATCTGCCCCCCTCCCCCTCTATTGTGTTCCCAAGAAAAGCCTGTATTGTAAAACATGACTGGACTATCTTTCAGATCCCATCACACTCTCTTTGAATGTTTATCCAGAACAAAACTGTCACAAAACAACATCAGTCCCTGCCATCAAGGCAGCACATATATCTGCTTTTGCAGTATGATTGGCATAGCTGTGTTTCTCGTACTTTCCTGCACGGTGCTCAATCGCATTCCTCAGCTTTTCACTTTCACTGTCTGTTGTAGAGCCAAGCTTTAATGATCGTTCAGCACGTCTCATGCCTGATTTCTTTTGTTGTGAACAGGACGTACTGGGCGGAAATGGCATCCTACTTTGATGAACACAACTGCGAGCCCACCGACCCCGAGGAGCAGTACCGCCAGAATGCTCTCCTTGAGATGGCCAGGTGAGGGCTAGCAAACAGAGAGGCTTTATTCTCATGTGTGCAGTGCTCTGACTGACTGTTGGCGCCTGCGTTGGTGTTTACAGGTATTTGATACAGGGCTTGGACTGGATCGACGCACGCTATGCTGGCATGTCAAGCTGGGACCAGAGGCTTCCTCCTCCGGCTGCCAAAACTGCCGTTCAGACCCTCACTGTGATCGTTATAACTGCTGAACAAGCAGGTAGACAGAACCATGAGAATTAACTGCCCTGACATTTAGGTTGATGATCAGCCCATGATCTATGTAAAATCTACGTAAGCGTGCATATCACCTGAGATTTTGATGTGGCTTTTTGTTTTTCGTTCTCACAGGCAGAGGTCTCAAGTGTCCTGTGTGTCTGCTGGAGTTTGAGGAGCAGCAAACGGCTCGAGAAATGCCTTGCAAACACCTTTTCCACTCAGGATGTATACTGCCATGGTTGGACAAGGTAACGCTCCCGTGTTTGTGCTTCTCTTTGAAATAGAAAACACACGAGCGTGACCTCTTACAAATCCTTTTTGCTTCTTTGTCGTCTTTAAACTTTAGACCAACTCCTGTCCGCTCTGCCGACTTGAATTACCCACCGATAATGCAGACTACGAGCAGTTTAAAAAAGACAAGGTGGGTGTGTTTGAGTGTGTCCTAACGTTTAACCGTACATTTATCGTGGCATTAGCTCTATATTGTTGTTTTTTTATTTACTTTTCTGATCTGCAGGAGAGAAGGAAACAGAGCGAGCATCGGCTGGAGGGCCTGCATGGAGCCATGTACACATGACGCTGCAGTGCTGTTGGGCAAGGTTGTGGCATGTTGACATTTTAGTTTAATGAAAGCTTGAGAAGTGCATAAAGCTGCATTCGCACACCATTTCAAACAGAGTGTAGTTTCACACTCAAGGATGGGGAAACAGTGTGAAATATTTGGCAAAATATCAGCAAATCCTACATAAATTGTAATAATGAAAAAATGGACCACAGTAAAAAAAACACATCGGGTTATCTGGAATGACTTAATGTCGGGCAATCGGGATGACTGCCGAGGATTAATGTAAACAAGCTCCTGTTCTCCCCACTCTGTTGACGTGGTGTGAATGCAGTGGAAGCAACAAGGTCATTAAACATTTAAAATGCTCTTTTTCTCACTAGCTAGGACCATTAAACTTCCACATCCTGTTGCCAGCAGAGCGCTCTCAGACACAGCAGCTGCTTTTTCCTTTCCTTTAAAAAAAACAAACAAAAAAACAATTTTGTAGGCTATAAATGGACAAAATCTGTTCGTCTGTATTTGTTCAACGACCATGAAGTTATGATTTGTAATTTATGATTTTAAGATCTGTCTGCTGCTGTTCTTACTTCTTCATAAAAATAAAAATTGAAAAAATGGATTTTATTTTGTTTTTTTTAATCAAAAGCTTAATTTTAAAAGAATCGCCAACAAGCTTAGCGGACGTCAAATTCTGTGTTGCCCATTGTTCACTGATAAATGCCCGCATCTTTCAAACTCCATGTTCGCAGTAGAGAACGGGCTTTTTTGTACATTTGCGGTCTCAGCAGATTTTTCTGTCTGTTCCTCATGCTGAGTAATTTGATCTGTAATTGGAAAGATTTGTGGAGTTCCCCTTCAGCTGGTCCCATGATGTTTTGATTTTAGAAAAAACACTGGCTGTCATGTAGCCTATCTGGAGCGAATATTAATAACAATCTGCACAGAATTGGTTTTAATGCTCCTGAATCATATGACAATCTTCAAACTGCGTCCACGTCACAGTGATAATCTGGGAAACATTTAAACAGGCTTTTTCTTTTCTTTTTTAACCAATTATGAAGCTATTTGTGTCAGCTGCTCTGTCCAAAGTTGTTTCTATTTATGCTTGCAAATAAGTAGCTGGCCCTTTTTTTAAAAACGTTAGAACGTATAAAACACTAACCATAGTTAGAGTGATGCTGTTATTATCTAACAAGTACGGCGTGCTATGATTAGGAAGCCATGTTGGTCTTTGTTTTAAAGTTTTAAATTGTGAGGTCGGTGTATGCACAAGTATTTCCTGTGAGCCAAAAGCTCAGACTGCTCTAAACACCATCTCAGACAAAAGGATCAGTGAACTCATGGAGTGCTGAGAAGTTCATCAGCTGTCCATATGTCCCTCCACTATTAGCAAGTACACAGTGACATAATGAGTCTTAGACTGGCGGTCAGACTTTTAGTGACATGAGATGAATGTGTCGTGGATATGACGGACTTAAAGCTTCTCTAACTTTTCATTGGTTTGTGCATCCAAGCAATGACAAAACTCTTCACTGTCTTTCTGCACTTTATACATTACAGTAACCTGTGAATTATGATGGATCATGAGCCAGCTGAGCTACTACGTCACTGACGTTCTGGTTTTACTCTTGGCTCGGTATGACAAAGAGAACAGATCTCATTACAGTCATCTCGATCACAGCTATGTGAAGACAGAAGCCCCACCCACCTGCTGTCTGAATATCTGTTTGCGAGGGGCAGCCAATCAGAAGACAGTTGCCTTGATGAAAGGCAATCTAAAACTGCTTGTTTCAGATGGTAAATAAAGCTCGTGTCATTATCTCATGAGTCTTGGCTGTATCAAAGCTCGTTATGAGATATATAAGGCTTTGAGCTGTAAATCAAGCAAAGCCACTCTATAAAGGCCATTACACACCAAATGTGTTACAACACGATGCATTTTGTGAAAAATTCATCCTTAGAAAAACAAAAAAAAAAAAATGTAAAAAATGAGAAGGGAGAGAAATGATTTGAGAGTCAACTGACCAGGAACAGTGTCTGTGTATATTCAGTAACTGTGCACAATTTGGGTTACAAGCACTTTTGCCAAATGCAAAAAAAAAAAAAAAATTCATTCAGCATTTGGTGTGAACGGCTGCATTAAAGAACAGGCGAGTCCTAAAAATATTCCACCTGACATTTTCCACAGTGTGAAGCACCCAAGACCAAAAGTGAAATGAAAATAGAAACTGATTTGTAGAGTTGAACTAATTTTGCCGTTTATATAATGTTGTAGTTTACACATTCACCCAACAAGAGCCCCGGTCTGATCCCAGGAGGAGATCTGAATTCCTTCGGGGTTGTGTCAGGAAGGCCATCCCACACAGAAGAAATATAATCTTCTAAATCAAAGACACAGCAGCTGAAAGTAACGTTGAGGAAACAACGGGAAATCTGTGCGTTTAAAATAGTCCATGAAAGCCACGTGCTAATAATTTATCATTTTTATTTCATATTTGAATATAAATCTCTGTCAAATGAAAATACCTAAATGATAGACAAAAATCATACATATTTACAGAATTTATAAAAAACAAACAATTTGTGTTGACTTGATTTCAGGGATTTGTCAGACTCCGTGATTACCATTCATTTACATACTCTTCAAATTCAAAAGAAAAACAGGACCAGTAACGTTTTTCTGTGTTGCTAAAGTTCAAGACGTACAGTTCAGGCGGCTTTTTGTAATACAGTGTTCCTACACAAACAACCCAATGATCTGACTGCTTATTGAAGTGCACATTTGGATAGAAAGAAAAAAAACAAAACAAAAAACAAACTAATGAAATCCACTAATTTAATATTTGGCCTGTGGAAGATGGCATTATGGTATAGATGCTGTAACAGAATAATCCCAACCCCAATGTGAGGACTCAAACAAGCTGCCATTGGGAGTCAAACTGCATGACTCAGTAACAGTATGGCGAAACAGGTTACAGGTGAACACATGAGAAGAAAGAAAAGAAAAAAAAAGTACAAGATGTAATGCTAAAACGGAAAAGACACAAAAAAATTAACTCAACCTGGAGTAGATTTTAGTCTTTTTGGCAAGTTTTGCAGGACAAACAGGATTGACAAAACAGACACATGATTGTGCATCCTGTGTAACTGCATCCACTGTGCCGTTACACAGGATGCTGACACTTTTTAGGACAGACACTTGCAGACAGAGTCGCACACTGCCCACTCGCCATCACATTAAATACCTCAAACGCTGCCAGATGGAAAATGTTTCACAACTGTATTCTGTACCAGAAGCTTTCACCTTCTAGTAACATCCAACTGACAAAAATAAAATAAAATAAAATAAGAGAGGTAGGTGACCTTTATAAAGAAAAAAGAAAAAAAAAATATTGCTGGCATCCAGTGTTTCAGACAGTTTAAAATGACTCAACATTATGCAGAGGGCAGAATACTGTGCATCTGTGAAACACACCTCACTCACTCCAACATAAAGAAATGTAACCTAAACAGGCGGCATTAGCCAGCTGCAGTTTGACCAGTGGTGATGTGTGGCAGTCTGGTGTTGAGCTACTACAAAGATAACAACTTAAGAGAAATTGGCAACACAATTTAAAACAAAAACGCATCACATAAAGCACTTTGACACCAGTCTACAGCCTGTATCATATGTACCTCTCCTGTGAATAAATCACACTACCTCGGGCTTCACATCACTTCTTACTGAAACAAAACGCTGGTCTATGAACTCAAATAAGGCTTCCAAGGGTCCAGCTTGGAATCAATGTGCGAACAAGAACCCTCAAACGCCAAAGTCGATTCTTGTTTTATCATAAAATGGGCTTTAAATATCTGTCAGAAGCAAAGAGAGGGTTTGCGTTAAACTCATTATCACATGACTGATGGCAGTTATTGCGTGGACATCGGTGAAATAAAGGGTAACATGAAATGTTAGCATTTCAAAGAAACTGTCAACACATTTATGGAACGACATACAGGAGATGACGATTATCAGCTAAGGGTGATTGATTCATTTCCATGCTGCTGTCACACGAGGGACGCAGGCCCAACATACACATTTACACGTTTGTTTTTAAAAAATTATTTAAAAACTACCTTCACCATCTGCATTCAAATTATCTGTGCAACCAAACCAAAGGCAGGTGCGATAATTAATTTATGCCTGATTGATTAAAAAAAAGCTTGTGCGCTCTCAAACTGTAAAACATAACTATTCATTTCTCAGACATTCAGTGGTTCCTACCTACTACACAAACTCAGAAATCAAACATGAAATGCTCTTCTGTTAAAAGAAAAAGACAGAAAGAAAGAAAAGCGTGCCATGCAGAGAAGCAAAAAGCCGAAGCAGGTCGGCCACGCAAGGTTTTGTGTAGGAGTCTGGGGAGAAGGAGAAAACCATCAAGAGATCAGCTATGCAGAGTAAAAAATAAAATAAAATAAACGTCTTGATGCATCCTCAATCATCCAGGAAAGTAAATCTCCAAAAGTTGATTCTGTTCATCTGGACTTTGCTACGGCCAGATGAACAGAATCAACTTTTGGAGAAAGTAAAATAAAAAATAAAAACTTCTCTCCCAGTCAGGCAACACCCTACCTAATGCAGAAGTGCCCAGATCAACAGCCTCCGAGGAACATTCATGGCTCCAAACTTTCAACAACACTACAGGAAACAACTGTAGCAGGTCACGCCAACAGTGGAGATTTAAAAACAAAAAACAGGTTGAGGATATCCGAACGCCTCCTCTTCCTCCACGTGCTGCGTCTGTCAGCTTGGCTTCCTGTGAGAGCCCGTGAAGCACCTCTGCGGTGATGTTTCAGACCTTTCGGCTGGGCTGCACAGCTACAACATGGCTGTGCTCTCTGGGGTACAGTTGAGATGTGTCGATGTGCTGCTTCCCCCAGGGGACTTGAGGCCTTTGGTTGCCCCTCCTAATGTTGAGCCCTGGCCCCTGGAACCCATGATCACCCCTGAGCCGTGGTGGCTCTGCTGCAAGCCTGTCATCATGGTCTCACTGGTGACGGTGCCAAACTCATAGGTGAAGGTCCCGTAGAAAACCAGGATGTCCACCGTGAAGACCCACTCGCAGATGGCTGCGGCGTGCTGCAGGGTAAAGCTCTCGTGAATGAAGAAGATGCCGCCTTGGAGGACAAGTTAAGGATGACAAACGGCTCTTGTAGAGAGAACAGAGCATTTATCCTCACTGAAGCAGACAGAACATTCAAATCTCTACCAAACAGATGGACTTAAAGTATTAAATGATTGGTGTCTTCATTTTTTCCTTCACCCACAGTAGGCTTACTTATAATGACCAATGTTCCCTCTAATATTTCATGTGTGAGTGAACACACAAACTCCCTGAGCGTCCCTTGGACCACTGTGAGCAATAGCACACGTGTGCACTGTGGTCACGCCAGCATCGAATCAAAGTTACATGGTTTATTAAAATAATCAAATTACAGCATTTACACTTATGTTAGACAACGTTATTTAACTGCTTTAGCCCACTTACAATGAAATTTAAAAAAAAAAAATCTTGTTCATGACCTGTGTAGGATGTTAACACTATTGGAAGTAAAAATAACTTTAACTCCAATTTTGAAAACAACAAAAAAATTTTAAAATAAAACTCTTGACTTGTATTATGAGTATGAGTCTGTGGTCTGGGAGAGAGTCCTGTAACTCTGTCTGCAAAATACAGCATATAAAGACCAATGATGGGCAATTAATTATATAGTTACTTCTTCAAAAAAGTAACTGAGTTATGCAAACAAAGTTTTTTGCAGCTGTTTACCTAAAAATGCAGCCAAGGCGGGTTTTTTTTTTTAAATAAACATTTTAAACTATTTACAGAACAATCAGCTGTTCTGCATCAAATTTGATGCCACACAAATTATTTGTGCTGCTGCAAAAAATAATTTGTCCACTATGAGATAAAGGAGAACAACAGCCTGATACCTGCAGGCCTGACAGCAGCAGATGTATCACTGCTGTAACACCTGTAACATTCAGCAGTCGCCTCATTGTTCTGACACACAACAAAACTATTGACTACACTACACACTAACTACACACTAACTACACACTAACTACACACTAACTACACACTAACTACACCTAAACTTCGCAAATCTCTCACATCTCAAAACACGCCGTCACTCCTAAAACTTCCCCCCTTCCTAAACAACTAAATGCTATGTTGGTATATCGTTTTTTGATTGGTCGACATGGTACATTTTTCCACCAATAGGAAAGGGTGGGGTTTTTTTGGTGTTTTTGCTCACAGGCTTTTGAGCGTTTTCCTTATAAAACGCAGTTTTTACCATTTCTTCCCGCAGTAAATATAAACAACGACAGTATTCAGGAAGAAAAACAAACACTGCATCTATTTTTATCATAACTCTGGTTTTACACAGAGTTAAAAACTGGTGTAAAGTCCACACTTTTTCCGTCAGTTGTTCCGTCTGTCCTGCTCCAATGGTTGTGCACGTTGTCATTAACGTGGCTTCACTCCACATCAGCCACGCCGCTTTGCTAGCTAAAACACCGGTGTCGGCACATAAGGACGCTGTCATAGCCTGTCAGCCACGTTGATTAGCCGCGTGTATACGAATGTGAATCACATTATTGGCTGGACTATGCGATAAGGTGGCATCTTCTAATCCAGTCGTTCCCATTTTTTTTTTTTGCCAGGCCCCCCCCCTCCCCGCGCGCGCACATGCACGTGCAAACACATCCTTTAACCACACACCCATATTTTCCTCCATTGCAGTTTATTTCACATCTCAAACATTTAGTAAACAATTAACTAAATACAAGTAATCTGCAATAAATTACAGGTAGTAAGAAAATAAACTCTTTCACGCTACGTCCGCACCGTATTTTGCAAATGCAGCTGTTTCTATGTGTTTGGACCTTTCGTCCACATGTAAACGGCGTTTCGAATCACCGAAAACAGATTTTTTTTTAAACTAATTTTTTGCGTTTAGTGTGGACGAGGAATACAGAGTTGGTCAGGCAACGTCAAAGGTATGAGCCTTTTTCACGTTGCGCTGTGCGCCATGTTATTGTTTACATGAGATGAATTGCAGAATGGCAGATAGTCAGATTAACAGTATTTTGTCTCTATCTGCAGGTTTACACATACACACATGCAGTTAATGTCCCTCTGTTTACAAAGGCAGAGGCGTCACGGTGTGATTATTTTTCGTGTAGTTGTTTTTTTCCTGTGTAATAATGTTCAACATTGCTATCAATACATTTTTCAAAAAATGCCTCTCTGTGCAAAATGGGTTTAAAAACATAAACAACTGTGGGATACTGTTTGTCCGTGATTTGGAGAGCCCAGCGCTGCTCCCACTGAAGGGGAAACCTACCACGGCACTTGTGCAGGTGAAGCCAAAGGGCAGATTTGCTTCACCATATTTTCTAGTCTTTGGCTTTGAATGAAGTTGGTTTGGAAACATATTCAGCGATGCTTCATCTCCTGATTTGCATTTGTGTGGGCGCCCCGTCAAAAACCTGTCCATTATGCTAGCAGTGTCCAAGCGGGTTTCTTTTGTTTTGTTTTTTCCTTTTCATACCGCGCCCCCCCTGCAATGGCTCTGCGCCCCCATACTTTGGGAAGGTCTGTTCTAATCCCATACGGGAGCAGCCGGTCACTTACTGACTAAACAATTCTGTTTTGCAGTGTCAAAGTTTTAATTTTAATTCAGGTTAGTTTTTTTTTTTCTGTGCGCAGAGACCGTGCCAGCAGTGCGCACACGTGCAGCTTAGAGGATTGATGAGGACGGAGCTGAACGGTTCTAATTTCTGTTGCCAATCAGCCAATGAGTAGGCAGGTAGGCAGTTTGACATCAAAGGCTATTTTTCTTATTTAGATCACCACCCAGGTGAGGTGGCGAGAAAAGCAGGTTACACCCTGCTCAGGTCACCACGAGGTCCAACTGGAGCAAGAGCATCCATGGAGCACACAAAGGCCTCGTCTAAGTTTGAACCCAGGACGGTCTTACTGTAAGGCACAGAGCCACCATGCCTTTAAATGACAAAATCATCAGTGTGGCTTTAAAGGATCTGAAAAAAAGCTTATAAGAGCTGAAACCACATTCATACGTTTATCTGCATAATAACAAGGATCTCACTCCAGTAAGGAAAGGATACTGAAGACGAGGGAGATCATGGCTCCCAGTGCCAGAGCCACTCGGAAATGAGCCATCCAGTAGTCGAGGGCCGTGACAGCCAGACGGTAGGTCAACACACACTGCAGGCACACAAACAGCAGCCCTGCTGGAAAGGCCACACCCGCTCCCACATAGTGAAGAGATTTGGCATGATCAACCTGTCAGATGGAAACAATGTCAGAAGAGCCGTTTGAACTGTGACATCCATGAGGTCTTCACTTATTGTGATCAGCATCACTATAAAATGAAAATAAAAATAGAATGCAATGATTTGCAAGTCTCATAAGCTCATTTTATTCACAACACTGAAACATCAAATGTTTAAACTGAGAAAATGTATCATTTTAGAAATTAAGATCATTTTAATTTTGATGGCAGCAACATGTGAGTAAACACATAGCCGTCTTCTCTGGCTAAAGATGATATAAAATTGACCCTGGTAACAAAAAATGCTCTGTGGTCAGACAAACTGACGACAATCCAGCTTATCAGCAGCACTCAGTTCAAAAGTCTGCATCTAGATTGTATTGAGGCACATCAGTGCCTGTGAAATAAACAGCTTGTACAAACAGAAAGATCCCATCAATACTGAATGATATGTACACTGGTTTTAGAGAAACTTATCCTCCCATTCAGGCGATGGCTTTTGTTTTGTTTATTTTAAAAGAGAAGGCCATGCAAATTTGAGCGGAGACTGTTAAACCACCGACTGCAGCCATTTTTACATGAGAACAGAAGAATGTAGGTGCTGAACTGGCCTGCTTGCAGTCCAGACCCTTCAACTAAAAAACATCCGACGGATCATGAAACAGAAGAAAAATCTATTTCAGACAAGAATGAGAGAATACTGCTGTTCAAGTTCAGCAGCTGCTCTCCTCGGTCCTCAGATATTTACAGACTATCGTGGAAAAACACGAGGGCGCTTTTGTTCGCCACATTCAAATGAGCAAATATGGGTTTTTTTCTTAAAAGTGGTACATTTTCTCATTTTAAACATTAGATGGGTTTCTATTGTGAATAAAAACAGGTTTATGATATCTGCCAATCATTATATTCCTTTCTTTACTTACCTGAAAGTTGCCCACCATGACAAGACCAATGGCATTGGTGCAGCCAGACACCAGAGCGCTGGTGTTGACCCAGCATCTGTGGCTGTGTTCGATCACTTGGGCGTAGCGCAAAAAGCACACCATCACAACTGTTGGAAACAAATTTAACAAGTATTAATAATCTATAATCTTTTTGATTTGAAATTGGAACGAAGCGGTCTTAGTATGAAAAGTATGCTTTTGTTTTCCTAATTTTTTAGAATAACTTGAACGCCTGAGATTTGGACACTCGCTGTTCTGCATCATGAGAAAGGCAGCTGGGAAGTAGCTTCACGCATTCTTCCAAAGGTTAGACTATGTGATTCATGTAACTGCTGCCCTAGACAGGATGCTGGCTTTCAAATACTGACATCTCTGCTTGCATAAGGGTCAATTTTCTCAGCAGGCTTAAAAACCCAGGTTGCAAGTCAGTAAAACAGAGCCCAACATCACAAGCTACCAACAGGAAGGAATTGGAGGGTCTAAAACGGCTTCTGGTCTACCGAGGAATTGCAGAAATGCATTATTTACTAAAAATGCAAGGAAACAAAATAAAACCATGACAGCTGGAATATAAAGGAAAGACATATGAGAAGTAAAGGTGACGTGAATAATGAAGTAGAGCTGCAGGAGAGAAGCAATCAAGCAGCTGTGGGAAAACTGGGACAGAAGTGAGTGGTGATAAAACGAGAGAGGGGGAGGAGAAGGAATGGAGGAAAGCCACAGAAGGTGAATGAAGGGGAAGGGACAGAGGGGGAAGGAAAGCTGTATTCATTATTGATTAGAGAGCACAGGCTATTTCCAGCCCCTGCATAACTCTTGTGGCTAACGTCTGTGCCTGTGGGAAACTGTGGAGAATTAATAAAATATACAGAGTGGACTGTGGAGACAGTGTTGAGATGAAAGGTGTCTACTGCCTAATTTTGTTTAACAAACAGAAGCCAACAGGCTTTTCACTCAAGTGTTGGTAATGAATATAGAGACAGATTAGAGATTTAACCAGTCCATTCCTTATGAAATGACCCCACACCTTTCTTCTGTGTGTCATTTAAGATGCTCTTAAATGTTTTAAGACACTAAAGACTAAAAAAATAAAATAAACAAAAATACACCAAGTCATACTTTGGTAATCAATTACAGAGGGTATCATTCTTGCTAGTCGAATAAGAAGTTTGATGTTCTTACAGATGATTATCTCAGTTTAACATTAAGACTTGAAACAGAAAGTAGCTTAAAATGATTATGTAATCATTACAACAACAAAAAAAGGAAGTGTTAAAATGTCAACTGGTAGTTTTACAGGAAGTAAAACTTGGGTACAGTCGCTTCCTGGCGTCTAACACTAGTACATAAACACTAAAACCCTGTCGTTGGGTGTTGCTAAAACTTAACATAACAATAGAACATAAAACATAATGAGGAACAGATTTTCCCCATTGTTTACAGACTACATGTCACACTCAGCCAACTCACTGCAAGCTACATCGACATCTATACACACTGTAAAGATATGCATGCATGTACTGCGTTTAGTTAGGCTTACCCATGAAGGCTCCAACATTGCCTATCAGGCTGAACAGACAGCTTTCAGGAGGGTAGGAGCCACATTTACTGTGAAGACAAGATATAGACAGTATTTACAAAGACACACACACACAACAAAAATTACATAAATTATTCTAATTTCTGAAACGCCAAAGATGGCAGCTGTCCTGCCTCTACCCTTAAAGAGCAAAGCAACAATGTAATGAACTGAAAAACATGAGTTAATCATGTTGTTGCAGTGTCACATACTGAGATTCAAAACTAAACCGTTCTCAAACCACTCGATATACTAAAAACATGGAAAAGTGTACTTATTGTTTTTTGTTAACTGCATCCATTTGTTCAATGATCTGGTGTGAGAAGGAGGAAACACTGTCTTAAGCAGTTATTTATAAGACTAGCCATGGCCCCTTCCCCATTCATTTAGATAGGATCTTTAAGATAAATGCCCAAATAACTTCCCTGAGGTGATGACAAGATGGCTGCTGAATAGTGAGACTTACTTTAAAAGGACTACGCATGTATTTTACCTGACACTGTTTAACAGTATGCTTCTGCCAAGGGAAGCTTCTCTAATAAATTCAAGTATGACACCAAATGTCGGCTTACACGGCCTGAAACTTAGATGAGAAATCATCTAAACGCACGGACTGCAAAAACTTGTTTGGAGCGATTAGTTTTTACAAGAGCGCCATTGTACTCGCCTGTGGTAAGTGGCGTATTTGCAAATTAAACAAATGCAATTTATGCAAAACGATGACATAACAAGATGATAATTCATGCTTCGAGGCCTTTGCTAACACAAAATAGCTTTTGTACTCTGAAACAAAGACATTAAGTGTAGCAAAGGGACCTGATGAGGGGGATGTCCTGGATGGTGCAGCATGACTTCGGGAAGCCTGGCCGGGGCAGCTCTTCTATGCATGTTACATTGTAAGACCTGTAGGAGTGACACAAAAAGCTCTGTTTATTCCCTGCTCATAGCTATGGAGTTAGCTCTGGTTTATTTTTGTAACCCATTAGATATTTTAGCCCATTTCATCACCTTCATAGAAGAAAAATCACATACCAGTTCTCCACAGGACACACATGGTGATTCATCACAGCCATGGCATACCTGTAGAGTAAAAAACCCACCATAATTTAAAGAAAGAAACAAATCCCCAATGACAAAAGCCCATTTGCCCCATCCTTTCCCACAAACCCTTCAATTAATCGACCCATCATGTAACACATTTAAATGTGACAGCATACAAGACCCAGGCACTGTGACTCACACTATCCATATTCCTGTGATGGAGAAGGCAGACAAGCTGACAGGTAGTACAATCCAGGCAGTCATTGGGCTGGCAGTGAGCAACCTTTGTCCCAAGCATGGGGTGAGAGGGCGACTTTGGGCTGGAGCGGCAACGGATCAGGTTGGGGGTGGGTGGGGTGTGGGGGCACTAACACACAGGGAGACACACGGGGGAAAGGGGGGCATGAGAGGGCAAAAGGGGGGAATGGCACAGCTCTTCTGCTCCACACGTTCCTGCAAACAGCAGCAACCCTAAAGAAGGTGAGGAGTAGAAGGACAATTTTATTAAACAGATGAAGCATTCAGATAGATTTTTTACAGACACATCTTCAGTGTTATATCATCTGGAAAAATCTTGCCTTGGCATGCATATCACAGAAAAAAAAAAGCTCAGTTCCCTCACATGCTCTGTTAATGGTTGCATTTTAAGACAAATGCAAGCGGCCAACTGTTAAGCACATACACACTGTGCTTGTGTGGCACGAGGGACAAAATAAGCAGTGACTGTGCGTACTCTTATAGTAAATTGAAGGTCCCCAGCATGCTGATAAGAAAGAAAAAAAAGACAAAACAAAACAAACAAAACAAACAAAACAAAGGAGGATGGCCAGCCTATCAAAACTCTTTTAGGGACTCTTAGATTCTTGATGAACCTCAGCGCAAAATAAAGTTTACATGCAAGACTGTTCCATTTACTGTAAACAAAACACACATTCAGCAATAAAACCTCACTGCATTCACTAAATATCTTCCGTAAGACTGCCCTATGTCACCATTACCAATGTCCATTTGTAACGGCATCTGTTCCCCACATGACGCAAAAACTGACTGCACCTCTAGAAAAGAAATGAGCAGCAACATGAAGCTGTTAAACTGTCTGGGAAAGGTGTACCCTTTTGAGAATGTAGACTTGGTCAAGGTCAGCTGTGTGGTGGAGGAAAGCATGCCCCAACACAGATGTGTATCACTTTACACAGGGTACAGTTACAAGTGTGCCCTTAGCTCAGAGGGACTATACAGTAGCATTAGATGGAGTACAAGCTCTTGTACCCAAAGAAGGGTTGAACCCACAAATGAAGCAGTGTTAAAATTATTGTTCTTTTTCTACTATGTAATGTAACAACAACAATAATAATAAAACTTCCCACAGTGACTACACCCTACCATTTGCAATTACAAAACTCTACAACTTAAAAAAATAAATTAAAAAAAATCCCAAATCACTCATTTAGGTTTCCTATCTTTTAGCATTTGCCAAACATAACTTGCCTGCTTGTTTGACGAGACCAATTGGCTTCACAACATACATACTTACTCATACAAGTAATTTTAATTATGAAAAACTACTAAAAGTTAGCATTTATAAATGTAACATTGTAAAATATGCTGTAATGAAGAGGATGACTGGCCTTTTATTATTCTTACCTCGCCTCTACGGAGAAGGACTTTAGCATACTGAACAGAACCGTCTATGTAAAGGAAATGCCCCCCCTTACCGCCCGCAGCCACTCACAGCAAATATTCGCCACTGTACTTATAAAAGGCAAAATACAACCGTGACAGTATGTTTTTTGCGAACAGCCAACAACACTAACTTTTCCACTGTCTACTCCGGCCAACCAAAGGCAGTAAGATCCCGGAGCACGGCAGCCTTCTTTGCGAACCGCGGAAATCCAACCGTTAGCCTCGCTAGCTTCAGCCTAGCTAGCTAGTTAGCTCGCACTTTACCAGTTCGTTTGACTTGACACCTGCACGCATCTCGGTTTCCGCTAACCCCAGCGATAAGCTCCGAAACAAGAAAAAATTAAAGACTGAGAACATCTGTGGTAACTGGACAGCTATAGTGCAAAAATTAGTTTACACCTACCTTCCACCTGCTATGCCCACCACAGACCTCAACAACCTTGGTTTCCCTTTAAAAACAGCGTTTTCTTAGCAAACGAGGTAATTGCTTAAATAAGTTCCGGTTGGGCGTTTCAAAATAATATATAGTGGCCGTTGCTGTTAGAGTTTCCTTAAGAATAAATAAATTATCAAATAATTTAGTTTATCTTTATAACAATAACTATTTCATTGGTAATAAAATACAGAAGATGCTCTGCACCGCTAAGAAAAAAAAAAATATATATATATATATAAATCACCACCTCCGTTTAATGCACATCTGCTCAGTTTGCCAATCAAGCCCGGAAGTCACACCTTTGGGGCCAACCGACAGAAACCTTTTTACATGTAAGCCGATTTTGCATAAAAATATTAATTAGACCTTCAGTCTTCATTTTTTTTGTCTGCATATTGGAAATAAAACACTTTTATTTTCTTACAATCATATAATCTTTTATTCTAGTGTAACTAACTTGACAGAGCTCACAGTGCTGTCAGGCCCTACTGTGCGACCCCGCTGTAGTTTTTGGTGAGGTGGTTAAGTAACAAACGTGATTTGAATGTGTTCAGAAACGTAAGCTGATCAAAATTTATGTGTGCTTTGTTTCTAAAATAATATTGACTCATTGTAGTTTCTTCTTCTTCTCTTTTTCAAAGTTTCTACCACAAGAACTCATCTCTAACAAGTGATGGATTTGGCCATAGGGGAAAAGGGAATACCATAAATGATGAGTTGCCAGCCTGATACAGAACAAGCTGAAACTTAAGCACATAAATGGTGTTCAACCTACATGTCAGGACAGCCCTCCAATAATCAGTCAACAACCCTGGCAATATAAGAGCAGTGTAATTCACTTGTGTGTCTCAGCAGCGAAAGCACACATGTAATTAATAAGTAGAATTAGCTCTGACAAGCTGTCTCAAGAAGATGGAAGTAGTATTTTGAGGAGCTGATGAATGAAGAAAATTCATCAGAGGACAGATGGAGAAAAATGAGTGAATCAGGAAGTTTCACACATGTCAGGACAAAGCAGTTGGTCCACACGACATATCTGTGGAGATAGTGAGATGCCCAGGAGTGAGGGCAGTGGACTTTTTACCTCAGTCTTGGAGAGTGAGAGGATGCCCGAGGAATGCACAAGTTAACCATTATTTTCCTGTGATTGCATTTGAGTATCACTGATAATCTAATCTATTCCTAATCGGTATCTACTCAGTATTTTTTACTGACGAACACAGAAAAGTGGTGTTACTAATAACATTACTGATGACTTGATTCTGTCACACACAAGCAATCAGATCTCAAAGTCGAAGCGCCACTAATTTGATTATTCTGTTTCCTATTGTGATGTGTTAAATTGTCTCTGAAAATGATGTATTGTTGGGAATCATTGCAATAATTCTTTCAAGGCTTCAAACCAGAAAATAAAAATATCTGAAATATCTCCAAAGCTACTTCATGAATACTAGAGGTAAAATAACCTGTGCACAGCAGAAGCAGGAGAAGCCAGTCATCTAAATGTAAAAAATAAAAATTCTTAGTAAAAAGCAACATTTAGCAGAGCACTCTGCCCCCTTCCCCCATACTACACAATGTAAAACAGACAAATAAATATTTTGATGGGGTTTTGTTGTTGTTCCGTTTTGTTTTCTTTTTTATTTGAGGCAGCAACAAAATCTAACTCTTTTTAACAAACTGGAATATGAACATGTGTACAATTCACACATGCAAGTGAGAAAATAAGATTAGGTTGTTGTACCTCACTGTACCTAAAAAAAATATTGACACCAAAACTGACACTGCGAAAAAGGTATACCATAAAGTATGATCTGCTGTGGAGTTTGCAGATTGCAAAGTTGTTCACTTTGAAATTATGTAATAACACCTTCAAAGGTCAAACGCCAGCATTTACTGGGGCTGAACAATCTGTGTTTGAATTTAAATAACAAGGAATGTATATGACCAGAGGCTTTAAAAAAGCTACAGGGCAGATTAAAACCTGCATTCTTGCTCTGCTAAACAGCTTTAAAGGGACTAAATATGATCTTGTGGACATTTGTGATTGACAACAAAGCATAGGCTTTGGGGTGTGGGGGGTCATATCAATCCCCAGATTTGCAAGTAAAAAGTTGTTTTGTTTTAGCATCTTGTATCATGAACTGGATCAATAGGGAGATTCAGCTGTAAATGAAAAGTACAAAGAAGTATGACCGATTATGTTTGCTAGCTATGTTTGTCACTATGTTGGACAACTTTAATTTAAATTCTTTCCATTTAAATCCTTTTGGATCTTTCCCACATTTATTCTGAAATATTAAATTCTATGACAATCCATCATTTTTAATCACCACATTGTAAGTTAGAAATTTCAGCAATACTGTAAAAGAGGACTCACTACGGCCACAAGTGATATTTACAGGAAAGACATTTGGATTTATTCAGCAGACAGTTGCATAAATGGTTTTGTGATAAAATCACTGAAAGATATATATATATATATATCAGAATCAGAATCAGAATCAGAAAGGGTTTTATTGCCAAATGTTGAGCGGGTTTACAACATTAGGAAATTGCTGCGGTGCTTCAGTGCAAACATACTGTCATAAATTACGCTTAAATAGACATGAAAATAAAAATAAGAATAAGAATTAAAAGTGCTACGTAGAAAGATATATACATGAGTGCAGGTGGTGGTCAGTGCCAAAACATGGAATGATGCAGTGAACACAGTCATGTGTTAGTGGTGGGAACATTTATACGGTTATTGTTCATGTGTCCAACAGCAGAGGAGAAGAAACTGTTCTTATGGCGAGAGGTTCTGGTGCGAATGGACCGGAGCCTCCTGCCTGAGGGGAGCAGGTCAAACAGACTGTGTCCAGGGTGAGAAGGG